CAATCGCACATAAATTTATTTGTAATATACTTCAGTGTAGAGTGAAGAATTAACATATGAAAAAAAATAACAAACTAGTAGGAAAGAACAATCTTTGACTACACTTAAAATAAATGCATGCGACACGTAGGACATTGTTGAGAGAGAAAGGAAAAATTCATACATAATAATCACTAAAATAAATCATACAATCCTTAAGAATGACCAGTGATTTATTTCAGAAAACGATGAATACAAATATAAACGCGATAAACATAACCAGCTTACGAATCGTTAGATAGCTAAAAATTGATGGGATATATTCTTTGTCAAACGAAATCCCGATTGATCATTAGGATCATAGCAAACATTTAAAATTTCATCTATTTTATTTGCTAGTGAACGTGAACAATTTAAATAGTAAATACATGCTCTAAAATGTTATAAAAGTTAAAAATAATATTCTTATTTTTATAATCATATCTGTTAATATCCGTGAACATATTACACGATTCTAAAAAAATTTAAAGTCACTGTGTTCAACTAGATTTAATACGATAGAGAACATGTTAGGTCATTTCATAAACTGAGTGAAACGGAGAATGTAAATAGATCTTTTTCTAATTTAAAACATTCAAAATGATTGAGAAAAAGCCGCCCAAAACATTGCTAGCGAGAGTATCAGAATATCTGATGAAATCACTATCCAATACTCAGTAAGCATTGTTCAAAAGTCAACTAGCTGTATTCAGTTGAATTATATAAATCTCACATAGTATAACGATTAATTATATTTAATAAAATGAAAACCTTCTGGATTAGACAAAATGAAGTATGTATTACCTAGTTTTATTGCTTTCAGTATATATATATATATATATATATATATATATATATATATAGAGAGAGAGAGAGAGATGAAATGAACAGGAAGAAAAAAGCTTGTAAAAGGAACAGTATTTCACATCAGAATTATACAAATATTTGCTAAAATTGTGAGTTTTAGTGAGGACTACCTTTAGTGTAATAAAAATGTTCAAATAATGTATTTTAAAAATCAACATACATAAACACAAAATCAGAATAGTGACTCGACCATGTAAATTGATAGCTATATCCATGTTATATCGTATCTATTGTATCTAATAAAAAACATTCATAAAATGTCTGGGACTAAACCCCTGGACGTTTTGTGGATTTACGGCACTAGGGATCTTCGTGCTCGGATGAAGCTGCTGTTAAATATTCCATAGTTTACAATTTCATCCTAATTGAAGCTATCCTTTGACGCATACCAACTACAAACCAGAACCATCTCCACAAAACCGTTTCATCAATGCACAAGCTATTGCAATTTATTAAAAATACGAGTTTAAGAAAATGATGCAAGAGATTGTGATGTTTTGATCACTTTATTTAACATTATAAGTAACTCCTTATTTACTGTATAACGTAAACATAGAAAGATATTTCTATCTCAAAGTAAACCAGTCAATTTAATCGGCTTAATATATTACATTTATTTTTTCAGATTTATGGATTGGCATTTTATATTATTCAAGAGTAATAAGTTGATTAATTTCTTCGTATAATTAATTGTTTATTCATTGGGACAGAACTGACTGTAATCAATTCCATAATAGACGTTTTCTTATGACATAAACGAGAGATAAAGTTAAGTATTGGTGAACAATTAATATTAAAATTACATTTTTAACAAATATTCAGGTTTAGAGTAAAAGTCACAATCATGCTCAATCACCTCAACACAAAAATACCGACCTTGAGCTATCCATACAACGACCAATCGGAATTATACTAATCACTCACTGGTCGTTTACACTATACATAGCGCGATTTTATTGGTTGATTAATTTGAATGTGAACAATTTAGATGATTGACCAATTGCAGATCAATTAGTTTAATGGGAAAGTAAACGAATAGGGTGGGTTTTTGTCAATATAGTATTTTTATAATATCATCCTTTAATGCAAAACAATATAAATTGTTATTTCTTTATAAATTATCTTCAAGTGAGAAATTCCTGGACTAATTTCTTTAAATCACAATTAATGTTAATGGTATACTGACACAACAGTAACTAGTAATTTTTCATCAAGAAGCTGAGTATTACTTCGATGTGACAGTGACTATAGGCATTTCGTCAAGTCAGGCTCTACAATTCATATAGACCATGTCAAAGTAATAGAGAGTAGAACTACAAATTATTTAGTGACATACAATAACTGTGGGAGATTAACTCATTATAACCATATGGAAACGTATCTTCAGAGAACTTCAATATTTTTTCAGTCACAACGCAAGAGCTGTATTTGGTTTTTAAATACAAATCGCCAAGCACAGCTTTGAGTAAAACATTAATTTGTGAGAACTAATGATATTAACGGGCTCCCCAAACTGAAGCAGATAGGACAAAATCCGGAAGTATAACCTGCTGGACCAAAGCTTAATCCACTGATGAAATAATGATCAAGTGTAATCTTTAAAATCAACAATAAAATAATCATTTTGTCTGTTTAATTTACATGATCAAAATTATCTAACCCAATTTCACATAGTAAAAAAGTAAGCTATAAAACTGGCTTGGCCAATGTAATAAATATACATTAAGCTATGCTTCCATACACTAGATTCTTTCGGACAGAAAGATTTCTTGTTTATTAAAAGTTTATTTGCACTTCATTTAGAGGTTTACTTATCACTACTTTTTATGTAACTTGAATGTAGAAACACTTTATTACATGTAACTGTAAGTAAAATAACCAAGGTTGTTGTCTACTTTGTATTCAGCCAATGACAAATTAATGTCATCGCTCAATAAAACTAATCAAATTCATAAAGGGGTCTCTTCAAGACTCCTATGAACTAATCGTCGATTATTGATGTTTTTTTCGATAATATACTAACTATACAACAATTGCCTCATGAATTGGATTCCCAGTTATCATAGACACCTAGTCGAAAGTCTGGCTAAGGCTCTCGATATGTTTTTGATCTCATTCGAATATATTCCTACATTATTAGTACTACGTCTTAACAATTTCTAAAAATGTGAGAAATATTGGCTGATCATTATCATTTATTTGTGTGCATTATTGATTTCTTGTCCCATTAGTTTTAAAACCCTACACAGTAATAATTATATAAATGTATCTTTATGTCAAGCATAAACAAACTTTGGGAAAAGTTGTAGGATAAAATATCCCAATTTCTGAATATATTTAATCTAAGGTTAGATTACAAGCATCATCTCTGCGCTCATAGTAGCTCCACATGAATTTAGTGGTAAAATCGTAAAAATTGTATTGTAATTGTAAGGTCATACATTGCATCGGGGCACGGTGTTTATTGAAGTATGATTATGTCAGAACACAGTTAATAGTAAACATATCTAGATACGAAGATTATGGCTGCGGGTGTGAGTAGTGTAAGCAGATATGAACTCCTCGGTTGAAGTTTCCTGGATCAGATGAGGAGAGCCGTCGATGATCGCTGATTGACTTCAAAATGGATCACAAAACATGTCTATTTTATTTCCATAAATTTCGACATTATTTTATCATCACACAGGCATTTTTGGAAAATGTACCAATTTTATGAAAAAATAGTTTGATTTATTCTTTAGGAGATATTCAGGAGTGGAATGTATATCCTTAGGATTCGGTAAGCGGTTCTAGATCAATATCTTTGTGTCAGATGATTTAAATCTAAAACGCTTCAAATTTATAAATTGTTACTGCTTAAATATCGAATGAAAATAGTTTAGTTCATGAGCTGAAAACCACAGCTTAAAATCTTGTTTACTCAAAGTAGTAAAATAGATTCACTCAGTATTTCAACACTAATTATAATTGCAAAAGGAAAGAACCTATACGATGGAACTGATTACACATGTGAATTAACACTAATGTTTACAAACGCAGTTCAATCGTGTCAGTTAAGTCTATTTAATGATCAAACAGCTAACTCACCACTAAACTGAAACTAGCAAGTGGTTACCATAATCGATTACCCAAGCTTATAATCAAAATAGATATTTAGGTTCATAAGTGTCTGCAATTAAATTACCTCACATCAATAAATTAGGTTATAAAAATCTAACTGTTGACATCAAAATTAAAATTAAAATATTAAAGAGACAATTATGGGACATATGAATGTGATAGTGATTCGTTTCAAGTTTCTACAACACAGAAATAGCACCCTATTTATAAAACGAAACTGTCTCTACACTAAAACACTACCGACACAAACACATATGAAAACGCCTACATAGCATTAAATATAGTGTAAATGGATTCGAACAACTAAATCAAGCTGCCTTTTTACAACTGAAATAGATTTAACAATAGGTAAATACAAAGGAAGAAAAGATAAAAACACGCACATACAAACAAGCAAGCAGGCGCCAAAATAGACCATTTAACATTACCCATTAGAAATTAAAAAGATTATACGTCATTACACTATCACAATTGTTTGATATATTTCTTTGCAATATTGATTAAAATAACAATAATAATCATAGTAGTAAACACAAAAATCTTGACTGTCACAAAATAAGCGTTATTTGAATAACTGAAAGAGGGGAAAAACAAAACATATACATTGATAAAGAAGGATTGACGAATACGAGATACTTTTAATTTATGATTAATTAGCTCACTAAATCAATTATCTTCTGAGTAAAGTTAGTTGGAAGATTGAAATAGACACAAAAATAACTGAGTCAGATTTGATTAACTATTTTATTTTGATAATAATGATGCGGAAAATGTAAAACTATTTCTATCTATGTGTGTAAATATATGATGACGAGTAGGGGAATTCAAAAGAAAGATACAGAAAAGAACAAAAGCAAATGAAATCCTGTGGAACGGATAAGAGACTATGTAGAGATAAATCTATGCTTCTGTGTATATTTCGTTATATATATATATATATATATATATATATATATATATATATATATATATATATATATAGAGAGAGAGAGAGAGAGAGAGAGATGCACAAGACCTCTGTTTGCGAGCGACGGTAACTTAGGAGCAGAAAAGGATTATCAATTACAACATCAACAGGTCTACTAGTAACAAACTAAATTATACAAATCTGTCAAGATTTAGAAACAAGCACATTAAGAAATATTTTCAGAGAACGAAGTGACGAAACAGATTAGTGATGAATAAACAACTAAGCAATAACAACTTCAGACATCTTTATGCAAACATAAACGATAGGATCAGTATATTTTAATTGTTTCCAATTCTTCAAAACCTTCATTCTCTTAATGCTACACATATAAAGGAATGGGGGAAAAGTGGAAAACTCTCCCATGGATGGAAGAAAACAATACATACACAAATGTACATACTGTGTATGCGGAGAAAGGAGCAATTGAATAGGGGAAAATAGTCCTTTTTCCCAAGAGTCAAACCAAAGACTAGTGTCACAAACAAAATTGAAAGACAAATTTGGAAGGAGAATAAACTGACAGCAAACAAGTGTGGATGTGAGTAATTGTTTTTCTGCCAGTGTGCATATATGGTGTGATACACAACACACCTTACCTAATAATGTGAAGAGAAACACATTATAACTGTTGTATAATTTGCTTTTTTTATTAAGCCTGAGCAATACCATCTGACGCAGCAGAGGAGGTTGGCCTAGCACCACCAGCACTATGACATCTAGACAGAGGAGGATTGTTTGTAATGATTGAATCTAAACGATGATTAACAGTTGCTGTTGTTGTGGCATTATTGGTGGTAGTTTCTGAATTAAAAGAACCATTGAAGTGATGCGAGACACCGCTTGACGACATTCTTAATATAGCACCATTAGGGAAAGATGAAACGGGCATACAACCACTATCAGAGCCAGTGGAAAGCATAAATGAATTGTTCATATAATTAAGAAAATCTGGGTTAGTGAAATTTTTCACCAGTCCACCACCATTATTATCTTCCTTCACTATTGTATGTCGCGCAACACATGGGGTGTATTCTTCAATCAATTGTTGTTTAGACGATTTCACTGAAGGATGAGATAGTTGAAAGAAACAATGACGGCATACACGAACCGGTTCACTTGGTTGACTTGTTGTAACAATACGACGATCAGAACAATTTGCACAGAATATATAACCACAATTTCTAGAAAATAAAGAAATAAAACAGCAAATGTAGGTAGTTTAAAATATAAACTGCAGTTAAATAGATAACCAGATTACGACAAGTTAATCTATCTTACAATTTTGAATCGAACACACCAATTAACATTTGTATCTTATAAAATCTTTTTTGTCTTTGTATCTTTATAAAACCGATGCTAATTTAAGGTTTCAATTGGTACATAAATTATCTTTGAAGACGAATGTCTTCATTGATTTCAAAATTAATTCAAATGTCTTGAAACATGAATGAAACCCTTTGTTTTTAAAATGAGAACAAACATTCTAAAGATTGGTGAACACGATGCAAAGTGTAAAACCGTTCGAAAGTAGATTTACGGAAAGAATTCAAAACGAACACTTAAATTTGCTTTCCTCCTAGTTATTCAACAGAGTAAATATATTTATAGTTCCAATGGTGAATAATCAAGTTCTGTTGAACACATAAACATGATTGTTTTTTTTATTTTTGTGTAGTCATTGAATAGCATAATATAAATAACAAGTGTTTCATCGTATGTGGCTACACAGTAATATCTCACTTGAGAGAATCAGAGGGCTAAAAGACATTCTCTCCAACATGCTTCGCTTTAAACTATGTCAATGATATTGACACCGTTTTAAGTAACCTGAGAATATCAAAACCTAAGACTTGTTACATAGTAAGAAAGTGGAAGTTATTGATAGAACATAATTCTCATATCAGTTTACCCCGCATAAACATAAAAAACAACCAGTGTGATATGTAAGATAATAATCAACGCCCATTATTTTATTTGTCAATTTACACTACGCTCTAATGTTTTACAAGGTAACACCATCATAAAAAATGTTAAGCAATCAATTATACACAGGAGTTAATTAACGAGAATACAAAACTTACCGACAATGGTGTTTAGGTCGTAAAGCCGAAAATTCGATACGACATAATGTACATTGGTGAGCAATACAATCCGGCTGCAGTAAAACAGACTGACCATCTTCCGTATCTATTAATTCAAATGAAGTTGTCTTACATGATGCATTCAAGAATGTTGATTCAATTGGATCATTTAACTCAGACTTAATGTTACATGGATTGTGAGCCTCTTCCGAAATCTAATAAAGATTTAATCAATAGGTTAGAACTAAGCATGAGTAAAAAACCACCAAATAAAATAGCAGGATTACAAATACATTGGAAAACATTATTAGTACAGCAGCTAATAAGACAAATTCAATTACTGGTATCTCCGACCCAACTCTATATCTATTGATTTACAAGTGGACATTAGTCTATGGATAAAGAATAACAACAGCTGTAGAAATACAAACGGTTAAAACAATAATCGCAACTGGTATGATGAGTATAAGGATAACCTCATTGATTGTTTTCAGATTGTTTTGATCATTGTTTGATCATTTCTTATTTCAAAAGTAACAAACACTCATACTATCTCGGATGAATATTTTGTACACATTTAGCAGTTCATATTATGTAAGAGAATTAAGTCAGTTGATTTAAACCAATCTTCTGAAATGTATTTTCTTGGGATTAGGCGAACAGTTTCGTCGGAAAACTATCAGTCCTCTCTCTTTACAGTTATTTCAATATTTTATCATACTAGTTATTTTGCCAAGTAACTAGTATACTAGCGAGGGAACAATTATATTGGTCACGACTGTGTTCTAGAATACTGAAACCCTGTCTAAAACGCTTTTCATTGTAGGCAACATGGTGTGTAGTCACCAAAGGTAGTGAAGAACTACAGCATTCGGTAAAACTATTGACTGAGTATGACTAAAATAACCGATCTTAAATATACAGGGAGAACTAGTGAATAAGAATGAAAAATTCTATTTACTGAACCCGCGGTAACTATAGTTGGTAAAAAGCCATGTGGAAAAATGTCTTAAAACATGGCATACCAGAAAAAAAATCCAAGTTTATAAATTCACTGTATAGTAATCAACGTTTAACATGCTCTGTCTTGCATTTACATACCAGACATTATGGACTTTCATAATATTTATTATCCAAAGTAATTCGTGTGATAATACTAAAATTTATATTTTAATCAACGGTAATTCAAAAATTCTTGAAATACAACTCCATAATAAAGGTTTACTCCTGAATTAAATACATAGTTACGTAATATTGAAATATCCCTACACAAATCTGAATGTGAAAAAAATTTGTACTGCATATATGTAGTTCATAAAATCAGTTAAAACAATAAACTCACATTTTTATCTTTAGAAATGGAAACAAATAATTCACTACTCAATAAACTGGACTCTTTAGATTTACACTGACCATTAATATGACTATTTTGTGTAAGCTTCTGTTCATACGATGACAATGACGATGAAAGAGATGATAAATGATCATCGGATGAGGCATGTGTATTTTTGTCTTGTTTACATGTTTGAGTTTTAGTCAACTCGAGAAGTTGTTTTAATCTTCTCGCCTCTGAATTCAACCGTTCTACTTCCAGTTGTGTATATTTTAATTTGGCTTCTAATGCAAGCATGGATTGCTTTTGTGTTTTACGATTATAACGCTCTTGACATAATTGTGAGTGAGCATGTATTGTTAGGCGATCTACTAGCATAGGTAAACCATCCCAATCTGGAAAACATGACAATGTGTTCATCTAAATAATAGAGGAAAAAATTTAAAAACAATGAACATACGCATATCTTTTAATATGTTAATTTGTCCTACATACTACAAAGTTCGTGACAGACTACATGTACCAACGAGTTGTACTAAATCAATGTCTTTTGCTGAGACAGTGAAAGGCTTTTTTATGAAACCCAATTTTGCTAGATTGTGAAAATAATTTATATTCAGTTGATTTTAAAGCTCAACAATCATGTTCTTCATCATAGTCGGTTAGACAAATATGCTTTATTAATTTCCTGTTAGTATAATGTTTAGAGAAATAGTAACGTGCACCAATAAACTTGTATGCAATGTTCTATTTTATTCTAAATATCAGATACGTATTCACTACAAAGGACTTAGTACATGTTTTTATTGATTTAAGTTGTCATGTTTGGTATTGCTAAAATAAATAAGAAATAAACAATATACACACAAAGAAATCAAAGATAATGAAGATATGGAAGCAGAAAGATTTAAAAAGAAAAACAAGTTTTGGCAAGGAATAGAAAGAATTCATTATGTTCGATAATCAGAATGTAATTTATTTGTACTACTGTAACCAATATTAAGCCTTCGACCATTAATGTCGTTCTCTTTTTCAGTCAACCTGATCAGACACTTCATTTTCTTATACAATACAGGACGACAATTAATTGTTTATTAACTGATGCCAATTCATAGTCTGATCTCCAGAAAGCCCTTCTATATATATATAACACCTACTCTATCCGGAACTCCGCCTGTAGCTTTTCTAGAGTTACTGCCGGTCCCAAGCCCGGGTAAAGGAGGAGGGTTGGGCATGGGGTTAGCGACCCCATCCCGTAGAAAAGCTAACTCGCTAAAAAAACGCTAACCAGAAAAAATAATTCAAACCATTTAAACTCTGCCCTGGGAGTTGAAGGAATAATTATGACGTCTCATGATGAAAGCCGAAATTCTTCGGAAGTCACGAGACCGATGCACCTTCTAACAACCAGAGCAACACTCTTTATAGGTACATGGAACGTCCGGACAATGTGGGAAACAGGAAAGACCAGCCAAATAGCAATGGAAATGAGGAGATACAACTTGGCAGTACTCGGAATCAGCGAAACCCATTGGACACAAACTGGACAACAAAGGCTAGGTACAGGAGAGATGCTGCTGTACTCCGGTCACGAAGGGGAAAATGCTTCACACACTCAGGGAGTTGCTCTAATGCTGTCCAGAGAAGCACGAAATGCACTTGTGGGATGGGAATCTCATGGACCCAGGATAATCAAAGCATCATTCAGAACAAAGAAGCAAGGGATCACAATGAATGTTATCCAATGTTATGCACCCACCAATGATAGCAACGACGATGATAAAGATCAGTTCTATGAAAGGCTGCAATCAATTATAGCAAAGTGCTCACTAAAGGACCTCACCATCCTTATGGGAGATCTAAATGCTAAAGTTGGAGTGGACAACACAGGATATGAAGATGTAATTGGACGACATGGACTAGGAGAGAGAAATGAAAATGGGGAGAGACTTGCAAACCTATGTGCTTTCAACAAATTGGTTATAGGCGGCACAATATTCCCACACAAACGCATACACACAGCTACATGGATCTCACCGGACCACACCACAGAGAACCAGATTGATCACATCTGTATCAACAAAAAATTCCGAAGATCAATGGAAGATGTGAGAACCAGGAGAGGAGCTGACATAGCTTCAGATCACCACCTGGTTGTGGCCAAGATGAGACTGAAGCTAAAGAAAGACTGGACAACTGGACAAACAGCACTACAAAGGTTTAATACAGCCTTCCTTCGAGATACTGACAAACTCAACCAATTCAAGATAACTCTCATCAATAGGTTCCAAGCTTTACAGGATCTACTGAAAGAACAAGAAACTACGATGGAGGACAACTGGAAAGGGATAAAAGAAGCACTAACTTCAACGTGTCAGAAGGTTCTTGGTCCTAAGAAGCATCAACACAAGGAATGGATCTCTATGGGGACTCTGGACAAGATTGAAGAAAGGAAGAACAAGAAACTAGCAATTAACAACAGCCGAACACGAGCAGAGAAAGTCAAAGCACAAGCAGACTACGCAGAAGCAAACAGAGAAGTGAAGAAAAGCATTAAAGCCGACAAGCAGAAATACATGGGAGAACTAGCAACGGCGGCGGAAAAAGCTGCAAGAGAAGGGAATATGAAACAACTATATGATACAACGAAGAAATTGGCAGGGAGATATAGCAAACCAGAGAGACCAGTCAAAGACAAAGAAGGAAAGACAATCACTGAGATTCAGGAACAGAGGAAAAGATGGGCAGAATACTTTGAGGAACTGCTGAATAGACCAGCCCCATTGAATCCACCGAACATCGAAGCAGCCCACACTGACCTTCCAATAGATGTCACTCCACCAACGATCGAAGAAGTCAAAATGGCCATCAGACAAATCAAAAGTGGGAAGGCGGCAGGACCTGACAATATACCAGCAGAAGCACTGAAGTCAGACATTGAAATAACTGCAAACATGCTTCACCTTCTATTCAAAAAGATTTGGGAAGAGGAACAAGTGCCAACGGACTGGAAAGAAGGATATCTCATCAAGATACCAAAGAAAGGGGATCTGAGCCAATGTGAGAACTACAGAGGCATCAGTTTGTTATCAGTACCAGGAAAAGTTTTCAACAGAGTGCTGCTGAATCGGATGAAAGACGCAGTGGACGCCGAACTTAGGGATCATCAGGCTGGATTCCGTAAGGATCGGTCGTGCACAGACCAGATTGCGACACTACGGATCATCGTTGAACAATCAGTTGAGTGGAACTCATCACTATACGTCAACTTCATCGACTATGAGAAGGCGTTTGACAGCGTGGATAGGAGAACATTGTGGAAACTTCTTCGACACTATGGAGTTCCTCAGAAGATCGTCAACATTATCCAAAACTCATACGACGGATTACAGTGCAAAGTGGTGCATGGAGGACAGCTGACAGATGCATTTCCAGTAAGGACCGGAGTCAGACAAGGCTGTATACTCTCCCCATTTCTCTTCCTTCTAGTGATTGACTGGATTATGACGAATTCGACATCCGAAGGGAAATACGGAATACAATGGACTTCTCAGAATCAATTAGATGATTTGGACTTCGCAGATGACCTAGCCCTCCTCTCTCATACACACGACCAAATGCAGATGAAGACAGCAAATGTAGCAGCAGCCTCCGCATCGATAGGCCTCCACATTCACAAAGGAAAAAGCAAGATTCTCAAATGCAACACGGAGAACACCGACCCAATCACACTTGATGGCGAAACTCTGGAAGAGGTGGAAACATTCAAGTACCTGGGGAGCATCGTTGATAAACAAGGAGGATCAGATGCAGATGTAAAGGCAAGGATTGGCAAAGCAAGGGCAGCATTTCTACAATTGAAGAACATATGGAACTCAAAACAACTCTCAACCAATTTCAAGGTCAGAATCTTTAATACGAACGTCAAGACAGTCCTACTGTATGGAGCTGAAACGTGGAGAACTACTACGGCCATCATCAGGAAGGTACAAGTATTTATAAACAGTTGTCTACGCAAAATACTCAACATCCATTGGCCGGATACTATCAGCAACAGCGTTTTATGGGAGAGGACAAACCAGCTTCCAGCTGAAGAGGAAATAAGGAAAAGACGTTGGAAGTGGATCGGACATACATTAAGGAAATCACCAATGTGCATCACGACTCAATCCCTAACTTGGAATCCGGAAGGGAAGCGGAAAAGAGGAAGGCCAAAGAACACACTACGCCGGGAAATAGAAGCCGATATGAAAAGGATGAATAGCAACTGGAAAGAACTGGAAAGGAAGGCTCAGGACAGAGTTGGATGGAGAATGCTGGTGAGCGGCCTATGCTCCTCGACGAGGGGTAACAGGCGTAAGTAAGTAAGTAAGTACTCTATCCGGGATTTTCAGTTTAAGTAAGAGGTATGTACGCATGTGTAAAATTTGTAAATATGCTGTACAATAACTGATTATCGATTTAACATAAACATGGTTTATGAGCACATATAATGTGATATGATTCTTTGCAACCACAACTGACGAAAACGAAGTTTTGATAATACACTTTGAAAAGTTTTCCAAACAAATAGCCTAAAATGCAAATACAGTAGCTTAGTGTTTTTTTTTCAACAAAAAAAACAGAAGTCTAAAATTAAGATATTTAATCAAAGTTCAGTATCATCTGAAAAACAAATAAAAAATAAGGACGGTCAAACTAATTTCTAACTTATTATTAGAACAAAAAAAGGATACTAAATTAAACCTTAGGTGTATATTTGATGTACAGCTGTTAACTTCACAAACAACCGATAGCCAAATGTAAATAAAGTGAGAAACAGTTTGTAAGTTAAATAAATGCAAACTTATAGTCATACACTGAATCAAATAACTGATTATAATTTAGTCGCATTTATTTGTTACGTGCGACTGTGAGCAGACAATGCTGGCTGGTAAATTTTAACGAAAATTACAGAAAGTCGGTACTTTCAGTGCTTAGTTATGACTGCCTATTGTTTGGAGTTATTTTATTATTTATTATTTAAACACATAAACATTGGTACAAGAAGCACCGAATAGTTATGCGCCACAAAAATCATTCGATTTGGGTGAAGGCTAGGATACCGTCCAAGTGCCCAAACTGAAACGGGTGGTTTTCTTAGGGGGCCACACTCGGAGCCATCGACCTAAAGGTCTAATCCATAAGGCAGAGAAGCAACGTCAGGAGATGCAGTTCCGTAGTAGCCGGTGGCCAATAATTGCTTCATACGCCATTCGTTCCCTCAGGATACTGAAGTCCATGTACACCATTGGTTTGGAATCAGGGTTTTCCAACTACCATACATGGATTCTCAGTGACTATCAACCTGGTTAAAGCGCCGGAGATTCGCTTTTCGTCCACTCAATTTCGTAAGCAACACCCTCGCCACGAGAAGGTAGTGAGTAGGACTTCCAGGACAGTGGGTGTATGCATGTGGCCATGTGAGGGCAGTCCGAGAGAGAGGGCTGACTCTTTTCTCTCTCGGCCATACCAGGGCATTTGAGGGCATTTTTGGAGACTATACAAACAGAGAGGTTGAAACTCAATGATCTAGTTATATGATTAAAGGATTAAAAACTTCTTGGTTTATCTTTACACAAAAACGTACGGGAACTAAAAGGTTATTATACATAGGTCTTTAAGTTATTGACAACATATTTTTTCACTAATGGACCCATTATTTACATTGGTATCCTTGGTATTATCCTGTTATTAAATGTGATTTTCTGAGACATATTTATCAACACAGTATTACATTCAACTAGATCAGATAACTGTAATCAACAGAATATATATATATATATATATATATATATATATATATATATACGTACATAGCCAGTATGTCCAAAAAACAGTATTAAAATAATAATTTTCAACATAGTGTTACACTTTTTTACTGTAATTGATAATTATTTTTAACTAGAATATGGTAATATGATAAATAACTACTGTTAGCGGAGTTTATAGTACATTAGATTACTTGACAATGTAATACGTAAGCATATTGTAACTTTTGTGGATCAACAAATTTTTAACTTGAACTCAGTATAGTAAATAATAATTAGGATTTTTTAAAATCAGATTGCTGACTGAAGAGAAAGACTATGCGTACATTATAATTCAACTATTACAATTTAAGTGATGAAACTATTCGAGAATATATCAGATGAATTAAGAGTGTAGCGGTTAGTTCACAATAAACATGATTCATGTAATTATCTAATGAGAAACACAAAAGAAACTTTACTTAAATAACTATTGGTAAGTTCTACATATTACAGGCAAATGACAAAATTTGAAAAGCAGCGTAAAACTGTTGACAAACAATTAGCTGATGAAACTAGTGATCCTAAAATAATTGAGACAACTTTTGATCATCCTCAACCATTGAGATTCCGAATCAATAATCAAAATAATCGATTTGCAACAATCGAAACATAAGTTCGAATTTCATTCGCCCAAGTAACGAAGCCATATTGTCACCATAATCTAGAAAAATAAGGTGAGTTTGAATAATGGGCTTATTTATTAATTATTAATGAGCTACATTCAGCTGGAGATCAATAGTGTTGGGGAGATGTCAAATATCCCTCAGAAAAAAGCCCACAGAGGCCCTGAAAACGCTAGGAAACATTTTATCCAATCAGCATTGAATGAAAGTTTTTCAGAAACATCTAGAAAGTGAAAAGAAATGTTGGTGGAAGTAAAATTTATTTGAAAATTTCAATGATTAGCTCAAGACAACAACAATCGATGGAATCATTTGTACTATTTATTCTAAGTAATCAAACATTAGAATGAATTTAAAGTTTCTTTAGTAAATAGGTTATGTATGTCGTGAAGAATTGTGAAAACATAGTATATACTCAATGAGTATCCACCGAACAATGACGTTGATGCAAGTGTCTTGTAACTGTTCGGAGTGGAAATACGAATCGTCTTATTAGTTTTTTATAAAGACGATGCTCCAGAACTAACGTGTAGCCAAGACTAATTTCACAATGAAGAAAGTATTATACCTCGATGATTACTATGTTGATATGGCTAAATATATTATTCTAGTGCTTTGGATATTTGGACGAATTCACCGTAAAAATATGAAAATTTTTATTAGTATCTATCAGGTTCTAATAAATGATAAACTATAATATTCGCAATTCGTAAGACGAGAGACGCCATAAATAAACCTTGTTCTCATTATAAAATAATGTAAGGTAGAATTAAATTATTTATGATTAGTATTTATTGAATACTTATTTATCATAAACGAATTAAACAGCTAGCTATGAAATAGGTGAAAGTACAGGGGAATTCGAGATTTATTAGTGATATGATTAATACACTTGCTGAGAAGTGTTACACCACTTCAACCACCGTTTAACTTCTGATCTTGACCATAGAGAGGAAAGTTAGAACAAAAGTTGACATCTATTCATGAAACCACTGACTGTTAATCTCAAAGAAAAGTTTAAATACAAATCTCATGGACAGGGGAAATTAGTTATTGTAAACTAGGTGATATGATTGAAAACGGATATCAATGATACTGTTTAGTAAATTAACCATTTTGTGATGTCTTATGCTTCTTAATTTATCTAAACTGGCTTACCTTAGGATATGGGATGTATGTGATGTAAACTGAGTCTCCACATGAATGAGACAGTAGTAATAAGCTTCCATAAAATATTAGGTATAAACGCAAGGTTTTTAAGAGTATATTAGTCATTTTACAAACAGAATATTATTTCAAATGTGATGCATTGATAAAGGTAATTGGTAAGGACCAAGGGGTCGACAATATTCAGTTTCCAATATGGAATTTCACTAGTATCTATGAGTGTACAGTATGACCTTTAAACTTCAAACAGATATGTTAGGCCAATAGGGAATGTAAGTTGTAAATAGTGAGCAAGGAAAAAGAAGTCAGTTGGTGTTGAAATCTTAACAAGATTTTCCGAAAGTTAGTGTAATCCTACTATAATATGCTTATTTAAACAATTAGTGACGTTCAGAAACAGACGTGATGTTATGCACTGATAGCCAAAATAGATATAAATACCATTGACTTTGTAATAAATTCAGCACATTATTGTGTTTCTCGAAAACTACCATATGAATACGTTTGAAAACTAGTGCAGACAAATGGGAAAACTGGATGAATCAAAAGAGTATAAATAGTCAGTTTAGGGCAAAAATAATAATTAAAATATGATATATTGACGAGAAAACTGTTATTCTTGATGGTTCAGAAAAGATAGAATACAAGAACGGATTAAAAAGCTTGGCACACCGTCTTTTTTCAAGGTCGAACTACTAACTTTCCCCATAACGCAATCAGTCATAAAAGTTAAAATACAAAACCTTAGGTAAATACGGAAGAAAACCATATGGCCTTGATACCAAACAGACATCATAAAAGAGATGCTTTATTAGTGGCTCCCTAGACTATTGAGAAGTTTAAAAATAACACAATATAATTACTATTTAGCTACGGGCTCATGCAATGAATTATAAATCTCGTACATCTAGCCCTTACGGTGAGCTAAGATTCCTGTTACAATCAACAAATATCATCATACTCCCCTACTAAACCCAGATAATCTAAACGACAAAACGTTGCGCAGGATACTTGGAGACTGAATGAGGTTGATTTAAGCACCAAGCAAATAAGGATAAATACATTTACGATTTCATTGGAATTAAGTTTAAAATCAGAATATTAGAAGAACTACGAACAAAAATAAGAAATGTCTTTCATTATGGTAGAAACAAAGCAGGATTAGCAGAGAACTATGGTAGACCAAGTAAAAATACAAGTTTGCGAAACAGAACTAACAAAACAGTCATCAATAAAAGCTTTAAGGAGATCCACAGATTTTCGGAAAACTCACATTAGGTTTAGTGACAAATGTTGTAATTTAACCAGAAAATTTCGATAGGTAGAACGTATTTTGAGTTCGTTACTGAATAAATGAATGAAAAGAGCATCTTTAAAAATTCACTTTAATGATTTACTAGAGCTTAAGAATATTCGACAACAATAATTCTAGTCTTGTACATATTTAAGTACTAGTGCCTTGAAAGAAAAAGCCATCTTGTTTATGATAGAAAGAGAACATGATTAACTGTTTTCAAAGTTGGAAAACTTACTAATGCAGAAGATAATGGTTTCTTCTTAATTTTCTTTAAATCATTCGTATCATTTGATATGTTTTGATCGATGGAGGGATTATGCACTGCTCTATTTAAAGGAGTAGAATTTTTATGTAGTGTAGAAGGAAAATAGGATACAGCTGAAGTTGGACTGATTGGGGCTGATGTCGGTCGATTGTAAACGTCATCATTAGTCGTAATGCGAGTAAATTCAGGTAGAGAAATCTTAGGATTAACCGTTACAGAATAACTTTTTGAGTCGAATGATCCACCTGGCTTCAGGGCTTTACTATTATTGTTGCTAGAACAGTCGAACATTTGACTGGAAGACGAATTTCTGCTACCACAAGAAAGTGACGGCGATGACTGAGAAAGCATATTTGAAAAATATTCAGATCGGAAGTATTTGTTTCGCCAAGCAAGCTTTAGTGAGAACCAAAAATTTTAAAAATGCTAGTGAAGGATTCAAATACAAAAATACATAAATCTCGGGTCTTATAACGAAAAAGCAGCAGAATTATTTGGCTCAGTAGTAACGCAGACTTAAGGTTCGGAGCATAAATACACATAAGTTTAAGGTACTCTGACTATAACAATTGTCAGCCAGTTGATGATCAAAGTTAGTATACGTGGAGAGGTTGAGTGACAAGACTCACAATCGGTCACAATGACTTAGATGCATCTAGTTTGTCATTCATAAGATCTTGAATTTTAAAATTACTTTATACCTGCGAATTAACTTTTTACCCTGGAATCTCATTTTCTGAACTTTTTTACTATCGCTAGCACTACTACTACTGCATATACTTTAATACTTATTTTGACAATTTTATCACCCTGTACTAATGTACTGTGGCAGGTTGAACCGATGCCAATACATCCCAGGTTTTACGTTGCTTATGATTGACTAGGCCATTGTAGAAATTGACATGAACATTTATCGATCAACGCTGTTACACCTAGCACGCGCAAAACCAGGCACGAAACTTAAGGTATAGAACGTAGAGGAGCAGAAACAATGAAATGGAAAGCTGAATATCGGAAATAGAGCTCAAAAGCAACAACTGAGAAAGATGAATAAAAGGCATAAAATCACACTAAACTCAAGATTTAGTAGGAAACAGAGAATATTCCAACCGCATCAAAACAACCAATTTCGCGCATCTGCAACAGTAGACAGCGATCGACACCCAATGATTTCATGGATTAATTTAATGTTTTGACTTGTCTTTACATAACTTTTTTCTGACCTATTTTATACTAGCTACCATTGTGCGTAAACGTGGGAGGTGGCTGGACAAGCATCAGATTTAGGTAGATGATTATTGATAGAACAATTATCAGTAAGAAATTTGTCTCCAAGATAGACGTTAAGCAACATATTTTCGAGAGAATAGTCAATAGGGTGGTAGGACACCCATACCAACACATAAGATGTTTCGAACACAGTGACACGATTTACCTCCCTATCCCGACTATCAAAAGAAATAACTGATTACATTGTGACCTTCATTTTCATTCTTGATCATCCATTTATTATTCGATAAAAGGCTGAGTCATACTATCTTAATCGAGTACATTATATGTATTAGTTGGTCAGTGGTTCGACTTCATTTTAGAAACTCAGCTATGATTTACGGGAGAGTAAATAATCAGTTATGATACTCTAGTTATTTCCTTGTTTTACAAAATCGAATTCAGTTATGACAAACATTTTCCTAAAATTTACCAATAAAAAACTAAGTATATAGCAAAACGTGCTTTTATTTTACGTACCAAATCTTCAGGAATAAGTAGTTCAGACAGTTTTGTTACAAATGCCTCATCTAGACTTTCCTCATTAACTCTTGATATAGTACTAGTAATATCTTGGGATTTTTCGGAACCGTTATGACCAAAAATAGAGATTTCAGTCTTATTCGTCGATAACACTTGACCAGATACTGAGTCTCCAAGAGGTGTTGAAAAATTCAAATCATTACATTCATTGGGAGAATCATCTGAATCGGATGTGAGAGATACAGCCCCATTAACAAGCACTTCGTCATTTTCCGGTAGACTCTGTTAATGTGAAAATATTTGGAAGGAAATTAGCATTAAAATAGATGTACATGTAAAACTATAGATATACCCTTAATGGTACATTAATTTATACAGAATTAGAGCTTTCCCTAACTAATACTTTTTCTTCACCTGGTGAAAATCGAAACCTTGTTGGTCATAAACAGTACATTTATAATTACGATCTAAAATGTCAGAAGAATAATTTAAAATTTGCGAAAGTTTGACACAGGCTTTTTATTTTACGATGACACATTGGAAAGGGTTTAATAAATCAGATCTCGACAAACGATATAAAGAATATAGTTTCTAAGAAACCCATTGAAAGAACAATTTTCAAAACTTATTACTTACACAGTTCGTTATGTTTGGATATTGAACACATATCATACCTAATGTTTAGCCTAACTCTGGACTTTCAGAACTTCTGAGCCATGACGGTGATGTGAGCTCTGGGTGAGGTTCTAACCAAGTGTCAGTCACAACGTAGAACCTAGTACGTATGTACATCTGTTCAAATCACCATATCTCGTTAGCACAGAGAGATGAAATTGTCAGGTCAAATCCCAGATTAGTAGAGGTAGTAACGGTACTAGAGGTAATATGAAGCATTAGGCATAGAAAATACGGCTCGAAAAAATATAAATTCGTGAAATAAGCCAGAAATGGCTCACAATATAAATTGATAGTTGTCTTGTAGTTTGTCTTATGTTCTGCAAAAGTGATACACTAATGTTAACCAAAGGTCCTCCTGTATCTTATAATAAATAGTGATTGTATGATTTTTCCTACGGCTTCATTAAGTAATATCATTCGGCTTTATGAGAAAAATTTCCTGGTGGCCGCTTGTACCAAACATACTGTATTATAAATTAGTAACCATAAAAAATTAAGAATGAAGTTTTACTTCAAATTTAGTTCAAGCGTACCTATATATTTACAAACAATATTGTAGTTTCAGAAACTTATAAAAACTAGAAACGCAATATGTGTCCAACTAATGGGGGGGTTAAGTGAGTATATAATGAAATCCAGTTTAAGAATCCTCTTCGATAAAACAATATGTTGCATGAGAAGGAAGTGTTTTAGGTAGATTTTGGCTGTTGTGAAGTTATCATTGGTAATTACTAGCACGTCCCAATAAGGTTTCTTACAACTGCTAACTTTGGACAACTTGACCTAGTTTAGTCTTATACCGTTATTTTGATTGAGACAGTTTCTTTCATAAACCGTCCGAGTTGTTTTGTGATAGAATTTAAGAGTGAACTTTACGCTTTAGACCAAGCCCAAATGATATACGGAAGGTATATTAAGATTAGAGCACATTTTCAGGATAGAAAATGGTAAAGTATTTTCATGAGGATTGTAGAACTACGTTGATGATTCTTAATAGTTTTGTCTGTTAATCTTGCTATTGAGTAATGAGAAAAAGAAACTCAGCAACTAAGGAGAATTCCATCTATCATGTCATTGGATACGGCTACAGATGCTATACGACTACCAAGACTTAAACAAATAGAGAACTAGAACTGATTGACTCTTTGACCAAAAACCGCTTACTTAAAACAATGACAAGCTTTCTTACCAGAAAGTACTAGTTAAACAGAGTTTTATTTTTAAAAGAAGCTATCAGTGAAAGATTAATGACGTTTCTTTAGAAGACAACTACTATTATACAATTACTTCATCCTCCATTATGTAGAGAGAAAATGAGATTAATATATCAACCAACTTACATGTACTGTAAATTCATTAGGATAGACACTACCACTGCCAATCGGAATTAAACTGTTAGGATTATCAAGTCTACGTGATATTTTTATGTCCACTGGTTGTGATGAATTAATTGAAACAGGCTTTAATAGTTCAATGGAAGATTGCTTCACATCTGATAATACATAAAGGCTTGTATTACTCCCTCGTGTAGTAACTGACCATCGTGGACTATTATAAGTAAAATTATCACATTGTACTCCATCAAGATTAAAATTAGAAGGTAGTTTACTATGTGATTCAACATTAACACTATCATTATGATTACTATCATCACAATCATTGAACTCGAACTGTCTTGGTGAAATAGAAAGTGGTGAACATTTTCCATAAAACTGACAATTTTGAATAGGCTGATTGAATTGTGAGTAGTATAATCGACCTGAAGACATGAGATTATTACTACAGCTATTCATAGTATCTATATTATTATTATGATTAGTAAAAGAGAAATCGTTCTGTTCCAATTGTTCATCAGAAGCAAAAACATCAATATTTTCATCTGGAGAAAGTACACATTCTTGTTGTTGAAATCGATTAACATACGTACATGTACTCGCTGTCAACTGTGCAGGATCTGATTCAGGAGATATACATTTGTCTGAATGTTTAGGAAAAGGATAACCACCATTGTTAACAGATGATAGAGATCGTATATATGATTTCGATAAACCGGAACAAATACCTGTATCATCAGATAGAGAAGAAAGACGAAGTATTGCTGGTCCAGGACTATTTTTCTCATTGCATATATTATTTTCAAAAAAACATTGACTTGATGATTTCATTATTGTAGGAGAAACACGATTCGGTAAAGAAAATTCTCTAGATTGTTGTTTAGTAAATCTCGAATCCATATGATTATTAATATCATCAAGAGAACGTCGATGTGAGTTTCGACTAGAAGCATACCCTTTGATAAACAAATCTCCATCTGAATTCAATTCCTCAGAAGTACCAATTTTTAAATTTGGTACCATTATCTTTATTGAATCAGAAGGGTGGTCATCACCTAACAGGTTAGTTGTAGGTTGAGATGATTCTTCGTTATTGATATTTGAAGTGGAATCAGTCTTGTGAGGTGCTGGATCAATGGATGAAAGAGATTTATGTTTAGTAGGAGATGAAATAGTTGAATTTGTAACTGAATGAGCATTATTTGGTGTTGCTTCAATTACATCCTGAGGAATATCTAGGGTAGGATTTACTTTACTTGTAGACAAAGCAATACCATAAAAAGCACTCCAAAGACTTAATGAACGAACTTGACAATCCGGCTGAAGAAGATGCTGAAATGAAATAACAATTTACGACATAACTAACTATTAAATATTACATCGGAAAATTTGTAAAAGAAATTGGATTTTCATAAATGCTAGGAGTCAATGTTCGTTAAACCCCTAAATCCGAGACTATATCAATGTTTGATGGATAAATAACGGGAAAAAATTGCTACGATGCACTGTTTAAACAATTTACGGCAAATTTACAAATATGAACACAATTATTCAAGTCCAGTCCGAAAAAGGCTTAAATGTTTTAACATGGTTAGTCGTTGGTGGTTTTGGCATCACCATCACCATATGTTTATTTGCTATATAATTTAGTATTTAGGTTCTAGTTATTACCGCCAAGTATTGAGTATGTTTCTCAAAAAAATGAAAGACTAAAAACGATAGTTTGGCTCGTGAACTGGATCAGCAGAGAAAATGTTCTCATCCAAGTGAGTTTAAAAATCATATTCCAAATCAATGACGCAAAGTGTTAAAACAATTTTGGTGGAGTAGTGACACGTGAACTCCGACCAGCTTAAGACTACTACTGCTACAGTTACTCCACTGCATTGTATGTTAGATATGCAAGTCAAGAGCTCGAAAGCGATGGCCTATTATGGTTAAAGTCTCAAGAAAAAAAATAAACCTTGCATGATTTGTGAGTATGTAGGAAACTCCGAATTGGTCAATAGAGCAGTTTAGGGAAAATTTTAATTGAATAAGCGTTTGACTTGACCGGATGTTTATTGATAACCTATTCCAGAGGCTTGAGCAGCGTATGAAAAAATTGACTTTGATCTGCTTGATGTTTTCGATATCTTCAATATAAATTCCTGATTCCGAAGGTTATAATTATTAGTTTTAGCAAAGTTTAACGTATCACAATTTATTGTAGCCATAAAAACGGTTACAGTTTACAAACAAATTCTGAAAAAACTCATATTCCTTTAAGTTGTCGATTTCAACATATTTCATGATAAAATACGTTTTATTAGTTTCCTAGTAACGTATGTTGGTACTAAGAATTTTATACTAGTAACGAGAAAAACTGGCTCTCGTGCACGTCCCATAAGTATTCTTTACATGCACTTATGCAAAAACCCTTTTGTATCGGCGTCAGTATTGTAACAACCACCAGAACTAACTCTACACCACTCAACTAAATCTGTGCTGTTGCCGACGTTCAGACATTATCACAGCATTGCTTGAATTAATTAGGTTTAATGTCAGTTAAAGTTACGTAATCCAGTCAAAGGTGACTGCAATAATTTGAATATTCCAGAATTAGAAAGGAAGTAGAGGTTTTAATGGTATACCTCCTGTTTGGTCTGGAACACACTAAGTGGTCCCATGACTTGTCGTACGAGTGTAGTATCAGATAATTAACAGATATACAAAGAATTACCATCATAGGTCTTGAAGTTTGTTTTAGCCGTAAAGGCAAGTGATTGAAAATTATAGAATACATGTGATAAAACAAAAACAGTGAAAATGTAAACCAAATTTCATCTTTGTGGTATATATCTACCTTGCATTTACATAACAACACAAGAAATTGAAATGTATGAAAACAAATCTTTTGTTCATATATGAAAGTGACGATAAATTTTCGGTATTGATTGTTTTATAAATCAAAATTATAATTCTAGGTGGTAACTAGTTAGCTTCACCATAAATAGATCACACGATTGTAGTCACGATCTCTTTTCATGTGATATATTGAATGGTTAGAAGACGATGTGAACAAGGTTAATCACTAGATAGCAACAACCGGTTATTGATTTGTAATAATCAGTCAGAAAAATAATCATATTTTAAAATATTCATGTTTAAAGGATTATAGCTTACATCTACTGGTTAAAAAATGAGAGATTACAAGAAAATAAGTCCAAACATATAAAACAGGAAATATGTAACTGTCAGTGAATTACTTTCGAGTTCATAAATTAGACTACTTAACTTATAAATAGGACAAAGATGAATTCTATATGGTACCAAAATATAATATTGAATAAAGCCATTAATAATGAATCAATAAAACTATCATCTATAAAGTCATTGGAGGAAACTAAAGCATTACAATTAAATCAAGAAATAGAATCGAGAGAACGTAATATTCGCAGTTCCTAATAATCATGAAAGACTATTACGTTACATGTTTGTATAGTATTTAAGAGAATCAGTAAATTCGAATAAGGCAAGAAAGATTGGTTGAGCGAAGTTCTCTTTTTGGCGAATACATTTTCACAGCTCTACAATAGCGAATACACAACTGGTTCTCAAAATAATAGTAATTATAATAAGTGATAATAAAATTGTTAAACATGGTAACATTGAGGTAGAATAAACAAATGAAATAAAACGTTATTATTTTATCCGGAAACCAATAATTTTGTTGTTGAGAGCCTGAATATTAACCACGAAGATAAACAAAGAAATTACAATTGGGATGGGAAGGGTCAGCATCATAATATAAAATGTTGAAGTTGAGATGAGTTGTAATCAGGAGCATCATAAAAACAGAAACAAATCAGTTGAAAGTAGGTTTATGTAAAAGACAGAGGGAAGCAGAAGGCTATGAAAGAAGAAAATTATGGATAAGAAAGAAAAATTACGAGATATTAAAACAATGGTAGACGAAGAGGTCGTACCACTTTCATTTGGACGCATAATTCTGGTTTATCCAATCGTATAGCTAGAACTTCGGCAATGTTAAGGAGAGAGAATATAACTGCATTTGGCAGCCTTCTACTTACCTCGTAGATGGTTTTGAACGCGGAATCCACTTTAGTTGAGTGACCTGTGTTCACATGGTGTTCGATTATTGAACTTCTTATTGAGCCATTTCTGCCTCTTTTCAATCAAGCCAGATAGTGTTTTCGATTTCTTTTAGATAAAATACGCATCGAACGACCTATATACCTGGCTTCACATGAACAGGTAAATCGGTGAACGCAGAGTTGGTCAAATGAAATAATTTATCCTTAACATTATTGGTGAACATTGATCGGCTGGAGAGAACTATTCGCAAAGTTGCTGTGAAGAATGTTCCTTTGAGAGAGTCAGGAATTCCCCTCTTCAGGATGTCTGTAACTATATTACCTTTGAAACGGATGTTTACAGTTGGGTCCCCCATTAGTCGAAAGCGAATACTAAGAATTTGAAGTCTCGGTGTCACAGACAGTGAACTGAGCCTTATTGAGAAAACACTAATCGAAACGAGTATCCATAGATATTTATTGACAAGCACATGAAAATGAAACCGCCTAAAGAGCAAAAAAGCTCTATAGAAATGAAAACACTAATATGAGCATTGATTTCAAAGGTAATATAGTTACAGACATCCTGAAGAGGGGAATTCCTGACTCTCTCAAAGGAACATTCTTCACAGCAACTTTGCGAATAGTTCTCTCCAGCCGATCAATGTTCACCAATAATGTTAAGGATAAATTATTTCATTTGACCAACCGATTTACCTGTTCATGTGAAGCCAGGTATATAGGTCGTTCGATGCGTATTTTATCTAAAAGAAATCGAAAACACTATCTGGCTTGATTGAAAAGAGACAGAAATGGCTCAATAAGAAGTTCAATAATCGAACACCATGTAAACACAGGTCACTCAACTAAAGCGGCTTCGGAAACTAGAAGGGATTCTTTCAGTTAAAGTCCCTTTTATTTATACGAAAGTAAAAAAAATTACAGCAGGACTACCATGTCTGATACCTTCTCAAGCCACTATATTTCACTACCTCTAGGACCCCAACTAAAAATTCATGAAGAACTGACAGATGTCAGCCCTGTACAGGATTCTTCCATACCATGGCACTACATCATAAACTGACCACCTCCTCGCTTTCGCTAACCAGTACCAGTGTCGGCAAACAGTGTAAGATGTGAATCAGCCGGAAGGACATTCGTAGTACATCCCCAAGCCACCGAAGTCAGTGTTTCAAAATGGTGACACATTGGATTAGCGCTACTGTCCCAGAACACCCATTAACGAACCTTTGCATTACTTACATGGTGTTGGCACTGAATGTCAACAATTCTTCAGAAATAACGATGGTCAAACATAGGGATTTGCTTAGTATCCTCAACTAGGGAGAGACCAGGTTTCAAAACATAATGCAAAACTGCACTCACTGGAATGTTGTAAATCCTGATTTCTTAACATCGGTAGCAAAGTAGTTGTGAAAGCTGAATATTACCAAGAGAATACAATAAAGTTAAGAAGGAGCACATAAAGAGGTAGTTACTGAAATGAAGAAAAACGTTGTATGAGACTGAAAGTGGTACGTCCCATAATATAACGGTTAACGAATTCTTGAAGTATATAAACGAGGAAACACCTTATTGTGGTTGTGAAACTTCACAGCTTGAAGGAAATGTACTTCCATGTATGATATATTGAAAATATTGTCTATTGAAGAATTCTGTTCGTTTCTAAAATAATCTTGCATTGACAACGGAATACCACATGACAAGATAGAATGAATAACTGTATAGTTGACATTTTTACCACCATTGTAAAGTGAAAGGCAGAATGAAAGGGAGTTTTAGCTCTCTGGTTAAGTCACGTTATTGCTGTCCCATACCTATCAAGAGGTATAACTTCACCTTTAACAGTGCACAATATTTACAATCTTCTGGAAGCTATTTTCAGTCTTACTACTCTAAAAACAACCTCCCTGAAGTGGAAAGACCTCAAGAAACAAGAATCTCATCTACCATAGATCGAATACGTTCACAGCAATCGAAAAATCCGATGACAACATCAAAATAGGAGCTCATCGTTACAGTTAACAGCAAACAAGTCCCTATTGTCTAAAATAACTGTAAAATACGACTCAAACTTCAAAGGAACGAAATAAAATCTACAGTTACCTCCGCTTCTGGCTCATAAAAGTAATTTACGATTGTCCAATTATACTTTGAGGATAATAACCCCCACAATGAACACGTTCGGCTGGCGACTGAAGCTTTTTGGCGCTCTTTTTCAGAATTACAAAGAAATGTACCAAATAAGTTTGAACAGATGTGTAAGCCAAGTTTTAGCTAAATAACAAAAAAATTACAGATTCATAGTAATTAAAATCCAGTCTTATGACTGACATACTTCAGAATACACACATACATATCTTAAATGGAAAACTCTAACTTGACTGAACGAGGTGTACTGACCATCAAAACATAGATAAGCCACTACTGCGATATACAAAGTAATAAAAGTGTTAATTTTTCACCTCATAACGTAAACCAAAAAGCCCAGAAATATGGCTCATTCATAGACCTGTGCTTGAATTCCACTAAATGATGTATAGGTTTCATTCTAACTTAGCTCCCGAAGTCGTGCCGATCCAACAGTCTGACGACGTGTATCGGCCAGCCATACGCAATACTGATCAGTATGTTTGTGCGTTTCACTTAATGATTGTAATTCTTTAATTATTGTACTAATCTAATTGTTTTTATGTTTAGAAACAGATAAAGCTTGAAGCCAAGTTGTCCTTATTCTGCCTATAGCTTTCACATAGACTCTAGGGTCGCCAGTATCGCGTTTACAGTTCTAGTAGTATATCTATAGGACAAATTAAATCCTCTCTCTCTCTCTCTCTCTATATATATATATATACCTTAATAAGTAGTAAGACATTCATAGAGGCTGTGAATCTGTGGTCAAACGAAGAAATACGTCTACTTACTCACATAATTCAAAACATATTCAGAAAGTAGTTCAAAACTAAACAGTGAAAAACTGAATAACTGTTGTGTAGAAACCACAGTTACTATGGTGATAAATGGATAAAAAGAAGTAATTCGGAATTTTCCATCAGATAAAGTTCACGAAGACTGGTTAGATATAAATTGCTTTTCAAGATTTACTGTAGATGGATATTATTTAACTTGAAAGAATCTATGCGAATACCTACCAGAAATGATTCATTAAATTCAAAACAATGGGGAAACTGGTTGCGAATTTGATGGACACAATCAAGCCACTGTAAAAATATTGGACTTTGTTCATTTATGTTTAATGAGGGTGAAACATGTCCACTTCGATCAGAAAACTTGTGGCCGAATTGTAGCCATTCACGTTCAACAAGAATATTGAAACCCTATATATAAAAAACACAAATAGTAATTTTAAATTATTTCAATAACACACACCATAGTTATGATCTTAAAAGTTTAGTGCTACTCTCACCTGAATTGTTCGATAAAACGGATCTGCTAACAATTGAGCTAAGGAACTTATTTGAGGTGTTCGATCCCAACCATCTGTGCAATGAACCATAACCGGACGAGCATTTTCTTCTAATGCAATAGCGATTTCTGAGGCAGTTTTTAAAAGCTGACCAATATTATTTAACCACGATGATTTTTCTAATGAAGAAAACCAACTACAATTAAAAACAATGAAATTATTCGGTCCATTAATTGAAAACAATTAAAGTGTTCTAATGTGTTTCAAACCCAAAATTCTAATATTTAAACTAAATTATGATGTAAAACAAACAAAACATCTATGATACTAGAGATTTTATAACATAATGATGATGAATTTAAACAACTACATAAATACAGAAAAATCACCGACAATATTAGGCATTCCTTTACGTAGTATTGGATCTTTAAAATTACATGGTAATTTTGAACAAGAAGTGGAAAAAACCACCATAACAAACGCAAGACAAATAATTTACGAATATTGTTTAGCTTATAAGACGAAAATATTTTTATTTATTCCCGACTAGGCTTTTATGAAGTCTTTGTAAATATACATCTTTTGTCTGCAGATTGGTTGGATAATAGGTACTAAATGATTTCACATCTTATAGAGAAACGGTTAACATATATAATTAAATAAGATCTTACGAAAGTGAGTGATATAAAACAATTCTCATTGTGTAACAATATCAGGTGAATCATCACAGAAATGTAAAAAGAGATGGGTGGTTCATTAATCCTAATTTAAAACGTCCTAGAAAATCCACACATGATGACCATTCTAGAATTCAATAAAACAGATTTTAGGTCTGGCAATAACGCTACCGTTGAACCAGTACGAATAATGTCTGTACTAAAAATGTTCCAAGTAACTTTTTCCAATAAAAAAACTATGGGAACTTGGTCGTGAAACAGATTTTGACAAACTTATGTAATTTTCAACCAACTAAAATAAAACAGTTAATCGCAAACAATTAAAGCTTAACTTAAAAAGTGATTGTAACAAGCAATCTCACTTAGGACATTTGCCAGCAAACAGATTAGTTAGGGCTTCAAAATTTGAACGAACAGTATGTAGATTAGGCAAATCCATAAAAACAACTTCTGCCTGATCATAGTATTCTGGATATTCAAAACCACCACCACGTATCCGATTGAATTGTGCACTGCTACGACTTCTGGCATCCACAATCATCAAACGATGAGTATCTAATAGCGATAAAAAATAGTATTAATACTTTATTTCCTTTAAAGACAAGAGTAATATGCATCAGCTATATTTATAATTGAAAGAATAGAATACTACTCCTTTTCATATGCATACACACCTTTAGGTGGTGGACATGAAATGTGGTTCTCAAAACAAAAAGTCATTTTTCATTATCTAGAGAGCTCTAAACAATAATACACCCTAGAAGATATTTGAGAATCAAACGAGTATTTTATATTTATTCCAGTGAATCCAGTAGACCATGAATCAAATTACGAAGAAAAGGGATCTTGGAAATTAGATGGTTGACCACAAGCAAAATATTTCCTAGACATACAGATGTTTTATCTGACAATTGTGAGATATACGATATTTGAAACAAAAGTACGAAAATTCTAAAAATCTAATAAGTTATAGGAATATGGTTTAAAATAAAGGTATAATATGCCTTTTATTTAGTTAAATAATTGAAGATTACATGACATAAGAATTCGTTAACAGATGTAACGGTGGTTTACTTGAAGATATATCACTAAATATTTTTTACTAAACCTGGACAAGAAATACGAATCTCGCGAGTGCGGATTCGTGGATGCGCACTGCTGAGGAGTCCCATAATAGGACGAAACGGCCGTCCAGTGTTTCCAGGTTTTCCATGGTGGTCTAGCTTCAATTGACTCATGCTTTCAACTATGAAAAATACGAAAGTGACTTTTACTGATTGAAGATTTACAAGATAAAAGGTCTCGATGAATGACCTCTATGACAATAAAACAATAATGTGACGATTATTACACCACATAAACAAACACTACAATCACACCTTTGTTAGGATCTGATAAAGGTTTCTTTGGACAACAAGCAAGAACAGTTCGTAGGAATTTCTCGTCATACTCATTTCTGGAACACATTAATCCCACACAAGGTTGGGCGCAACGAAGTAAGACAGCTCCAGTAACCTGAGAACTATAAAGAACACATTAAAATACTTTAGGAAAATTACCGCCAGACAACTGTTAAAAATCGATTGTGACTTCGGAAACTAGCCATATTGATTATATCATTATCACTAATGGATCGAGGTACAATATGATGTCTCGGGTATGTGGAGCAAATTCTAAAAAAATAGATTTTTTTAAATAGGAATTATATTTTACTTGAATTCGTTGTTAATATCTGTTATCTTCCATGTTTTATCAAAGTTCATGCGACGAAATTCAAAACATACTAAGGCTGTATCCAAAGTTCTGTCCACATCTATATAATCGAAAGTTATGTGTTACAGAGTTCTAAAAAACACTTACCATTAATCTGTAACAATTCACAGGCACCTAAAGATGAACAAAGTAATAAATAATACTATCAAAAAAGGAAATCGCAAAAACATACTTAAGAGAAAAGGATGGTTTGGAATGTTCGCTTCTAAAGATGAACGGAATTTACAAGCAAACAGGGAGTCAATATCTCTTGGTGTATCTATCAATGACGTAATATGAGCGTATCCAGCATCACAAGCGATTTCATCGACAAACGACCAACTAGATGTATGAGAATTATCAAGAAAAAAACAAATACTTACGTGACAGATATACCAATTTTTGTTATGATTTTGATGTGAATCATTTCAAACGCTTCAGCTTTCCATACTAAAGTAGTGGGTATACTCCATGAGCTTTGTGGTCTTTTTGTTGAAAATATAAGTCGATAGTTTGTAAGAGTAAAGATTCCGTCAGCTATCGACTTAGTGTTTATAGGTTCCTCCCCAGGAAGAAAGTGCATTGAAATCACATTCATTTTGACATTTCAACAAACAAAAGTGAGAACTAGAGACATTATTACATGTGGGATTCTAAAAGACAATATTGTGCCAAGAAATGAACTGTTACATATACTTTAACTACAAAAGAAAAAAATAACTTTCAAAAAAACAAAAAAATTTGCTGTCTTAACTTAGCCTAATGCACATTTGTTTCAAGTTCGATGTTAATTATGATGGACAAATATACATTCGTAGAAAATTACAAATGACATATTTTACCAAATGTAAGGATTTTAGATGAGCAAACAAAAATCGTCACGTACGATAAAATCTATTTACCAGAAACTAGTCAGCTAAGAAGACATTAAAAGGTTATCTATAACTTATTTATTTATTTATTTGAACATAAATATTGGTACAAGTAAGCACCAGATAAATATGCGCCTCACAAATCTCATTCGATTTGTGTGAGGGCTATGATACTGCCCAGGTGCCCAGACTGAAGCAGGTGGTTTTCTTAGGGGGTCACACCTGGAGCCTTTGACCTAAAGGTCTAGTCCACAAGGCAGTGGAGCATCGTAAGGAGATGCAGTCCCATGGTAGCCGGTGACCAACAATTGGTTCATACGCCATTCGTTCCTTCAGGATCCTGGAGCCCATGTGCACCATTGGTTTGGAATCAGGGTTTTCCAACTCCCCTAGGTGGATCCTTCACATCCACCAACCCGGTTAAAGCGCCGGACATTCGCTTTTCGTCCTCTCACTTTTGTGAACAACACTAAAATCGTCAAATCCAGGTGTTACAATAAATAATTACGTGCAAAACTCTACAAAACAGCTTTTAAATATCTGCTAACGAATTCGTTCTCGACCCGACCTAAGATAATTAGAATATTACAAGTGGTAACAGTATCAGCAGTAGTAAAAGAGATTAGGTACAGAAAAATAAACATAGGTGTAAAACAATTTCTGGACTCAGTTTCTAAGGAAAGAGAAAAAGTAAGTCCACCTGTTCTATGGAGGACGATTCTAAGCCATATCACTCAGTCTCTAACTATTAGTTGTGGTACTCGTGCGGAACCCAACCAGATATCGTTCACCCATTGTTCACATACATGAAGCGGAACGAAGCGAACTGTTTGACGGTAAACTCGTCCTTTAGTTGATAGATAACTCACCTACGCCACAAGTGATGCAGGTTGATAGAGGTCGGTCGGGCTTTCTGGATTCGTGCTGAGGTTTCGTCACACAACAGACCATCAGAACTGACGAAACTCCCAAAGTGAGACAATTATTGCGTTCAAATATTTCACTACATATCATTGATTCAGGTGACGACTCAAACCAATCCAAGTCCCAAACGTGCTTGCATTGTTGCTTAAGGCGGTCAAAAGACTTCATTTTTTTCAGAATATTCACAAAACAATACTATCTGCATATTCTAAGTCAACAAGTGAATCTCCTGGAAGACTGACCCCTGAAAAGTCTGATGATGATAGTATTCTCTTCAAAAGCATGTCTATGACAATTTCGGATAAAAAATGAGGAAAGTGGACAACCCTGACGAACATTAAGTAAAGTAACTAATTCTCATAAGAGTTTACTGTAAGGTCTGACTCGATCAGTAGTGTCCGAGTAGAGAGCCTGGACAATGTTAATTTACTTCTTTGGTATGCCCTTTAAAGACAGACATTGCCACAAAACCTCACAATCAACGGAGTTGAGCACTACTTTAGGATCAAGAAATACAACCATAACCGGACGTCGAAAAATATGTCTATGCATCAGGACCTGCCGAAGGGCGAATACTTGGTCTATGCATCCACGTCCGGGTCTGAAACCAGCCTCGGTTTCTTGAGTTTTCTCTTTACGTGCGCTAGTTAGACGTCGAAGTTTTATTGAGGCTAATATTTCAAACAATATATTAATTAAATTGATTCCTATGCGATTGTCACTAGGGGATTTTTTGTCCATTCTTATAGACTGGGACGATCAGAGATCGAGACCAGTCAAATGGGATTATGTCCACTTCCAAGATTCTAGCTAAGATTTCAATGTCACCGTTAAGCTGGACAAACTTAGTTAAAAATCTCAGGGGTTAGTCCATCAGATCCTGCTGCTCTGCCTCGCTTCAGATTACTTATAGCCTTTTCAACCACTAGAAGTTGGAAGACTTACATCAGCTTGCTTTGAGATAGTGGCTGAAGGTCAGTTGGACTGTCTCCTCAAGTGTTCTCCCTATTGATTTGACCCTCCGAATTGAGAGTAAACAATACCCTCGTCTTGTTCCAAAATAGTTTCACTAACAGCCGGGCTCTTAATAACCGTTTCGTTGATAGGTTTTAACTGTTGTCTACTATCGCCTATCGCTTCTGCCTTTTCAATCTCTCCTGCTATCTCTATTCACCACTGGTTACGATCATTACGTAGGCGTTTTATCAGCCTACATTTAAGCTGTCTCTGCTCCTCAACGTGTTCAGAGCTAGAAGGGTTAGGTTTGCGAGCATCTATCAACTCAGTAGACTTCGTTGAAACCCACTGACTTCTCTAAGCCTTTTGTTTTAGGTTACTGGAAGATGTCATTGCTATTTCTACAGCTGTCCGGATATCACACCAAGCCACCTCGGGGTGGATATCACTTTCATGGTTGACTAGTTCCTTCTCTAATTGTTTCTGTAATACACTCCTAACATTTTCATTATTAAGTTGAACACTGTGAAGTTTTCTTGATTCGGCTTTCATTTGTCCAATCAGACGCAAACAAATATGTGCTCAACTAGAGCATGATTTCAATCTAAACATATGCTCCGGAATGAGTGGCACTCTTCCATTGAATCTTCAAAGATAGCTGATGTCAATATAGTCTATTTGAATCTACCGTTGATTGATCACTCGCCATTATTATTGCATCTGAGTGCTTAGTTTTTTGAAGGTTGGAAAGTCTCCTACAAAATCCGTCCTTTACTTCAGCTGAGTTGCGATCAGTGAGTGTATAGGCAGAAACAACGAATAGGCAACGGCGTGTGTCCCTATATTTCTGAGTTCTTACTATCCCGTTTAGTCGGACAGCGCACAGGCGACTGTCTAATAGAATCCAGTGCAAGTCTTTTCTACTTTGGAACTTAATGCTACACCTACACCAACGGAGCAGTGGGGTCTCCAGATACTCGAAGGGTGACTCGTACCGATTCTTTATACTGAAAAGGTCATGTGAAATGAACGACTGTACTTGGATCCTGTATGCGCGTTTCAGAGACGCAACACATATCGACCGAGCGAGATGCTAGAGTCCCATAAAAAGAAGCCTGTTCTCTTATCTGACACAAGGCTCGAAGACTAAAAAGCTCCAACATGTGGTTTAGAGCGTGGTGATAAAAATGAAGAGGGTTAGTCGTAGGTATGGGAGAATTATTAAGAGGTGATGGAGGGATTCGATCGTCAGCAAGATGATTTCAAGTGTTGATAGAGATACGAGGGCGTTCGTCACTTTCCGGTCGCCCGCACCGTAGAAGAACATTACTTCCTGAAGGACCTGTAAGAGCCAAATTAGTAGTGGTCCTAGTGACCTGAAGGCGTAACAGCTGAGATGAAGGGACAACTGCTTGAAGCTGTTCGCGAACGGCCTCTTTATGATAAGTTTTTGATGTGTTAGCTCTACACTTTGGAAGGTCTTGTAGCCGGAGATGTAAATCCGTGGAGTAGGTAAGGTGCGAGATTTTAGATTTGACCTTCTCTAGCCTCATTCATTCACTATGAGAAGGCAGCATCGCTGCGGACACTTGTTGACCATGTGAAACACCTTACTGCAGTCAAACCCCTCCTCAGTCTAACGTCAAAATCCCCTACAGTCATCCAAAAATAGCATGAAGTACTGGCGCCTTTGTGCTTTCAACTTGGCCGTAAATTCACTCTGACATTTAAGGTAAAACTCCCGACACATCCACCAACCAAAGTACTGATATTTGAAAGAGGCCCTAATTGCAGAGACTAGAATCGGCTACAAACTCAAAATTAGCTGTCATTAGTTTAATATTCAAAAATAAGGTCATTGAAATGCAGTTTTTGAGAAAGTAAATCGAACTGTATTGTTATTTCAAACAGTGTGCAACGAAATTTGTATATAACACCATAAACAAAACGCTGCAACAAACTCATCTCGAGTTAGGATATCATCTGAAGCCCAAAAATCAACCTATGATACTTTTGAAGAGTCAAACAATTTGCAAAACCTCAGAGCCGAACACAGGCGTTTCTGTTTAGTTTAGCACAACAGATCGTTTGAGAAAACTGGGTGAGGGTGAAGGAGGCAGTAAGTGGAATGAAGGCTTCAAAGTAACACTTCAACCAAGACTCAGTCAGACATTTACTGAGTGTCTATGGGTTATTTTTGCTGATTTGAAGCACTATCGCCTAGTCTTCAACAGTTTAATATATTTCGAGGGCTTTACTAGAGGATTCTGCACTACCGAACTTGGTCAGAAACGACAATCAATGACTTAATGGTTAATAACATGCCTTGATTCAATCGTATCAACCAACATTCTTCGAAGGATGCTAACCTTATTTGGTCTACGGATATGTTTGTTCAGCCTTGCATTCCAAGGATGTCCATGGCCTTGACTTCAGGCACACACTCCTGGGATACACACACCAACCTAGACAAGTGAAATTAGTAAACGGTGTCCCACTCCAGACAAAATAGGCGATATCAAACGTTTTCTAAAAGCCTGCGTTTTTCATATTGCTACGTTTGCCGAGTCTCGGGTATCAACTAGTGAAAAACTAAACTGAAGAGACCCCATCTCTCCAGTTGTACAGCCTTCTTAGACCAAAAGTATTGAATAAACACCTCAGAAAGTAAACGAAATCAATGACGTGAGACCAATACATGTTGTTCTGTGATTTTAGGATTTACAAACCAACGATACAATAAAGTTTGGTTACTAACCTCGTTTTTTCCAGAAATGTGTGGTGGTTTGAAATCTGTGCCGCATCATGGCCTACGTTAACCAACTGAAGTGTGAAGTTCAAAGGC